AGTCTTTTGCTGAATTAAGACTTAAAGACAACTCAACACTGCTTCCAACTGCTGTCCTGTTGACTTTTGTCACCAGTATAGGCACAATTGCTAGATGGCATGAACCTATCAAGGAGTTGTGGAGCTGGTCTAGGAGTTTAAGACTATAAGTTATTTTGTCACTTCAGAATAGCCAACAACTAATCTAAATCCCACAATTTTGAGTCATTAAAAACACATTTCAATTCCACCATCATTATTTACCATGATGCAATTAATACAGTAAACTGCTAAGAATAATGGCATTTATTTTCTTTTAAATTTTCTAGGAAAGAAACAAGAAATGTACAACCCTGCTAAGAGACATATCTTACATGATATTTGATATGTCTCATATCAAAGTATGATGCCACAGCTCTGCACATATGATAACTCAGGAGAGAACACATAAATTCAAAGTGAGAACTTTGGAAGCCTTTAAAGGGTTTATTTTAGTATCTTCTATGCTACTCAGGTTCAACTGATTTAATAAACTCAACAACTTAAACAATTACAGAAAGAACATATAGTTTTACTAAAAGTAAAATCCAGAGTCAGATGTAACCATGTGAAAAAATAGAGAAATTGTAATGAGCCCTATCCTTAGGAGAGAGCATTGTGCAGTTAATGTAAGTAATGAACCTTTCATGTGAAATGATGTAGTGTCACAACTCATTTACATCCCACTTAAAATGTAATTAAGTTTCCCTGACAGCATGGCTTATGGTTGAAAGAACAGACCTGGCTGCTAAATTAATCCAGAACCCCTCTAGTTAAATAACACTGCAAAAGAAAACTTAACACACCTTCATTTAAAGTTCCTAATCTTACATTTAAAGTGGTACTATAGGGAATTTCAGAGAATGTTTTTAAAGACTTCTAGTTACATTCAATCACACAGCTGACTTGAAAACAGGTGTACTGAACCCACAGCAAGTTTTTGCCCAAACCACAGCGCACAAGATAATGCAGTAAACATGTCTAAACATGTTTTCATTTTTGGATTCTCTTGGAACCAACCCATGCATTGCAGGAACTCCATTACCAGGAGAGTATTCTCAAATGTAGAGACAGATCAAAGGTCACAGTGAAAAGGTGGTCCTAAAACAGCAAAACAGATGATCATCACCAGGTTCATTACTTGTAATGATGCCCACGTCTAGTTTTTTAGTTTACTTTTGCCCTTACTCAGAGAGTGTGTGTGTGTGGAGAGTAGGGCTCCAGGTTCATTTTTTTTTTGGCAGAGTCATCCAGCTTCTTTTGGCCACGGTTTGCCTCTGTTCCTTCACACCCTGTTCTGCCCACTGCCCGGACTTTCTTTGGGTTTCATCTGCTGAGAAACTTTTGAGGGGAAAGGCTGCTTGAGGGGGAAGGTCAGCAAGGCTTCCTTGAGGCCAGCAAAACCTTTCTGAAGCAAGAAGATGCAATTGTCATTTCCCTGCTGGGAAAAAAAAGATGAGTGTTTAAAAGACAATCAAAAGGACTGTAATTCTAAAGATGGACGCAAGATAGCAGCAAAGACTGTGAACAGCATTTCTCCTGACACATTTCTGCTCAAAATGCAGGTCAAAACTTTTGTGGTTACAAGCACACTGCAAGAGAGACAGAATGGAATAGTCTGAAGAGCTGAGAAAGAAAGTTCAATGTACCAGACTGCTCTCACACAATGCTTGCTGCACTCCCAACAATAGTAATCCTGGCAAGCATCTCAAGGAAGTTAAGCAAAAATACTTGGGAGTCTTGTGTGCCTCTTGTGGTGTACTTCTAAACTGAAAAGTTTGCAGCTCCAGTTAACACAGATAAATGTGTGGTGAGACAGCTTGTTCAGACTACTGATCTGCACCTTCATTTTAAGCCCTAACTAATATCTAGAACTTTCCATTTCCCAAGGCCGGTGGAGCTGCTTCACAGGCCACACACAGGAGCCAGATGAAGATAGACACTTAGCCCTCTGCAAACCTTGAAAGTCTGTAAGAATACTTCCAGATGAGAAGGAAGAAGCAGAGCCCAAAGGTTTAGTGTGAAGTTGACAGGCTGCAAGGAGAAGGGCTAATCCCATAACTGTTTTTGCCCTGGCCCATTTTACTGTATGGGAGCTGTATTGAAGATTCTGGGCTCTGCCAGCCTGAAAGAGCTTAAGTAAGAAGAGGCAGGTCACGGAAAGCTTTCTCTCTTGGCACAATTGAGCTGTAAATGGAAAGTGTTCCACTTTCAGTCTGGGACACTGAGTGATAGTGATGGTAGGAACTGGTGAGAAGTGCAACGCAACCATGAGTTTGGTGAAGTTCTTTGGTTGCAGGGTAAAGAGTAACATCAGCTGTGATTTTTCCTCCTAGGATATTGGTCATGGGCTCCTCTGCTGACCTTTTTACAGCAAGGAGGTGAGGTCTGTGAGTGTGGAAGAGAAGGTGAGAGTCCATCTATGTGAGAAGGAAGAAAGAGAAGAGAAGGGTCTGAGAAGCAGAGCCCTAAGAGCTAAATATCAACCATAAGGTTGACAGGTTGCAAGGAGAAAGGATAGTATAGCAACTGTTTTTGCCTGCCCTGGCCTGTTTTGCTGTGCTGGAGCTGTAGTAGACACTCTGGGTTCTGCCAGCATGAAAGTGCTTCAGGTTATATCTAGCTGAGGAGACCGAGGAGTGCAGTGTGGGCTCTGTGCAGTTTAAAGGCTGCCAGGGGAAAGCAACTGCCACTCGACTGTTGAGAGCATAGAATCTCCTATGAAAAGGGCAGGTAACTGAAAGCTTTCTGCCGTGGCACACTTCCCTGTTTGAGCTGTAGCTGCAAAGTGTTCCGTTTTTAGTCTGGGACACTGAGAGTTTGTAATGGTAAGAACTGGTGAGAAGTGCAATGCAGCCATGAGCTTTTTGTACTTCTTTGGTTGCAGCGAAAAGAGTACCATTAGCTGTGAATTTTCCTTCTAGTGAATTTTCCTTCTAGGAGAATTGGCATGAGCCTGTCTGATGCAATCTTTGCAGTTAACCAAGTTGAGATCTGTACGAACGAAAAGAAGGTGAGAGTCCATCTATGAGAGAAGAAAGAAGCAGAGCCATAATATATCCATGTGAATTTGACAGGCTGCAAGGAGAAAGGCTAATATAACAACTGCTTTTACCCCAGCCTGTTTTACTGTGCCCAACCCATAGTGGACACTCAGGGCTCTGCCAGCCTGAAAGTGCATCAGGGGTACAACCAGCTGACCAGAAACTGGAGCTCAGTGTGGGGTGTGTGAAGTTTAAAGGCTGCCAGGGCAAAGGGACTGGTCTCTATTTCTGAGAGCATAGAATTTGCTATTTGAAGGGATACATCACCAAAAGCTTTCTCTCTTGGCACACCTCCCTGTTTGGGCTGTAGCTGCAAAGTGTTCTGTTTTGATTCATCCTGGGACACTGAGCGACTGTGATAGTAGGAACTGGTGAGAAGTGCAATGCAGTTATGAGTTTCATGTAGCTCTTTGGTTGCAGGGGAAAGATTTCCCTCAACTGTGAGTTCTCCTTCTAGGACATTTGGCATGGGCTCTTGTGCTGCACTCTTTATGGTAAGGAAGTGAGGTCTGGAAGAGTGGAAGTGAAGGTGAGAGTCCATCTATGTGAGAAAGAAGGAGCAGAGCAGTAAGGTCTTTCTGAAGTTCACAGGCTGCAAGGAAAAAGGTCATTGCAAACCAGCCAAACTAAGGGATTTCATGGAAAACAGCAAGCACATCTTGTTAAAACACATTGAATATTTGCAGAGCAGCAAGAACAGAGGACACTGCAATCCAACAGCTGACGTTACTTAGAAATAACTGTACAAGCCTTAAGAATACCCTCAATCTATCTAATAAGCAAAAGAACCAGTGGAACCCAGTTTACAAAAATTTTATGGCCTGTTACCCCTACCCTTCTCCATATTATGAGTTCCTGCCCATCTCCGACAGAAAGGATCCTTGATTTGTTTCCTTACTCATCTCTCAGCCACAGGAGAGAACTGGCAGTGCATAGCCTGACTGAGAATTATGCACATGCTATCATGTCCTGTGACTAGAGAGGTGCTGGCTCTGTAGCTAAATTGTTAACCACATTCCTTTCAGTTGGAAGCACTTCATCTCTACCCAGATACCCATTTTCTTGGGAATCACAGACCTCAGCCGCAGCAGCGCTACACCTCACCAGCAAGGAGACCCGTACTGTCATTGCTTTGTGTTTCATCTTACCAAGGGGATTTGTCTCTTGCATCCCAAACTGTACTTATGACGGCAAGAAGGACAGAAACAAGCAGGAAGAAATAAACTGCTCTTTATTAGTTGCTTGCAGGGGAAAAGTTGGAAACTGAGTCAGAGACAGCAGCTTTTACAGTATTTAAGACTTTATTACTAGAATCACATTATCAATTAGGTTGGACAACCGTCCCTGGAGGTGTTTAAGGAAATGGACGTGGCACTTAGTGCCATGGATGTGGTGGTGGTCTGGCCATAGGTTAGACTCGATCTCAGAGGTCTTTTCCAACCCAGCTGATTCTGGGACTGCCACCGCTAGTGCAGCTTAAGACTGTGTCCTCTCGCTCTCGCCGACTGCCTGGGAGAAGAGGCCAGCTAGTTTCCGAAAGGCACGAGTTCCCAGAGGGGGCTCCACATCGCTCCGGCTTTCGGTTCCCGCCTCCGCTGCTCCAGCCACGAACTCATTTCCTGAAGTGTGCGTGTGTGTGTGTGGGGGGGGGAGGTTAACGCGTGAGCGCCCACCTTTAACCCACAAACTCTGGTCCAGAGAAGTTGTAATGAAGGCTTTCTTGCACCTTCAGACGCCCGGCCGCACACCCAGGCCGGGAGCACCGAGCACTCCCTCTGCCCCGCCGCCGCAGAGCCCCGCCCGGCCTGCGCTCCATGTGACCGCGGCCGCCGCTGAGGGCGGAGCGGCGGCGGCGCCGGCGGGCGGGGCCGGTCCGTCTGCCGTTGTTGAGGCTCCGCCGCCGGGGTACGGAGGTGGCCGTGGTGGCACCGGGGCTGAGGATTTCCTCCCGGGGCTGAGGATTTCCTCCCGGGGCTGAGGGGAGGAAGGGAGCGAGCGGACGGGGCAGCTCCACTCGCCGGCCCCGCCCGGCCCGAGCCCGTCCCCGGCGCCCGCCGGTTGCCGCCTCCGCCCGCCCGGAGCGGCTCTCGCCTTCCCTGCTGGCGAGCGGCTGGATTAAGTGGCTTTCCCCGCCGCCGGGTGGGTGTTTTGCCGAGGGGAACTCTGCGGTGGGAACGCGGGCACGGCCAGGTGAGCGTTGGTGGCAGTGGAAGTTTGTGTTCTGCGTCGTGGAACAGCGTGAATAATTGTTTTAGTTAGCTAAACGCTAATAATTAAGAGCTGCTAGCCAAATAATTAAGAGCTAGCCAAAACCACGTGCGTTTTCGTGACCAGTGCCTCGTTAAATGATGAAACCACGGCATTTCCGATGCTTGGCTTGCACCTCAGAGGTAGGAAAAGCTCTCTTGCCGTTTTACTTAAGAAATTCGCTTTACAGGCTGAAAATCGGTATTTTTAGTTACACGACACAGTTTTGATAGTTTTAATATTCCTTAACATGGCTATCAGACTACACCTTAGCAAAATACTGGCAGAAGGAAATTGTTTCTGCACAGCTTATATTCCTGTAAATAGGAAATGGGTGGATGTGCTGTCCGAAGAACTGTCGCTGTCCCTAATTAGTGTTGCAGGAAAACGTGATAGCACAGTAGTAAGACAAGATCACAGTGCATGAAGTGCTATAGCTGTGCATCACTCAAACCTAAGAATTTCGATTGGTAACAAGTTCTGTGTGATGGCTTTAGGTGGCCAAAGGTGAAAGACCAGCTCTTGATTCCAAAGACCTCAGTAGCAGAAAAGCTTCTGTCTGAACCAGCAGAGTAATTCTGGTTCAAAAATCTGTATGTTTATTGAACTTTCCAAGAGTGTTCGTTATACTGGGACATGAACAAATCATGGTTTTTCAAATATTTGGAATTTCGCCTTTCCATATGTATTTACTTTGTCTGACTCCTTATTTATAAATCTTTAGACTCTAAATAAAACTCAGACTAAATGCACTGTGAAGCAGTTCTTTCCTATCAAAGAGTTTGATTCTCCCTTTAAAAAATATTTATACATTTTTATGGGTGCCAAAAGACAAATTTGAACTTGTCCTGTGTGCCAGCTGAGCCCAAAGTTGTCTGAGGCCTACTCGGAGTCTGATTTATGGATTGATGTTTCTCTTACTTCATGAATGTAAAATAAAAGTTCTAAAACACTGAATGTGTGTAATATTCCTAAAAAAGGATTCTCTAAGCAGTACTGTATTTAATGTTTTAGAATAAGTATTTGTTGTGTTAAATATGTACCTGTTAAGAAGGTTCTTGGAATGAAATTCTAGTCTCTGGCACTGATCAGTTTAAAAGTTGGGCTTTACCTGAATGCTTTTTGAAGTGTTAGCATCCAAAACTAAAAATAGTAATCCTCCATTATATTACATATTTTTGTGATACACTGGAACTTTTACCAGAATGTATTTAATGGTTCGGTGTTGAAGATGAGCTTCTATAAGGGGTGTGTAAAATTTGCCCCCTTTTGCACCTATGGCCTCTCATGTTTACATACTTTGGCTGGTAAGGACAACAACTTTCCCTTTCCTGTTCCTTACATTCTTTTACTCTTACCTCCTTTCTATCGCCTCTGCCTTTTTCCTGTATCCTCCTTTAGAAGATTAGAATAGAAAAAAAACTGTGGGATATGTATCAAGAAAGCACTATACTGTTAAACATATTTCTGACTGGCAGTCACATTTGTGTAATAATGTGTAATGTCATAGCCATGATTCTCAAACTTGGTGTTTTGCAGATCCAAAGCCAAATATGGCACTTGGACACTGTGAAGCAGATGAGATTTGTGAGTGTTATTGCTGAGCAGGTATGTGAGCTCAGGAATGGAAGCAGTAAGAACTTTTGCAATGAGGTTTTTGCAGCAAACAACACAGGGCACAGCTCACTTCAACATGGCCTGGCCCTGCTTTGGGTCTGTCGCACAACTCAAGTTGCTTGTTGTTTTTCCAAGCAGCAGAACAAAACTGTCCTAACAGTGAATTATGGTATTTTTGGTGCATTTTCAAAAGTGTTAGCTCTGAAAGAACATTTGATTTGTAACGTAGTACACTTTTTTTACTTTTCTAGAGTTCTCTTTTCTAATAGATTGGTCTAATGCTGAGGTACCATAAGCCTGTCTGAAAGTCTGTGCAGAAGTTAGGGCATCAGCACATTCCTGGTGCATGGAAATGGACTGTAGCACTTAGACAAACTTACAATTTTTCTTTTAAGATTGAGATGATTCCCCTTCAGATGCAATTATGCCTTATATCAGAGATCTCTAGGAAGAAAAAAAAATACAATTTTTACATATTGGGCCAGAACACTAAGGGTTTTGAACGTAAACCTGAAAGTGATTCCATAGGATGTTGTGTACAATTACAGTACAGACAGTTTTGGGTTACTTATAGAAGTTTAAAACTACATACAGTTATGTACAAGTACTAATATGTGAATCATTCCATGTGCAAGTACTGATATGTGAATAATTCCATCACAGAAAAGTGCCCTTGGTGGTGACTCCCTATTAGGATCCAGGGTGATGGAGCAAAGGGACCAAAGGTAACTGATTCCAAGTGATAAGTTGGAGTGCTACAATGGATTTGAATGCTCCTAGAAGCGTAAATATCCAGGTGAACTGGATGTACACATGTTCAAAGATCTGAGGACTTATGAATGGAGTCTGTAGAACTGTTACGGTAGCAGTTGTGCTTAGATAGTGTTGTGTTTATTCAGGAAATTAAATTACTGACTTTGCTTCCACAATCTCTAACAAAGGACGAGAGGTGAATGAAGGAATTCCCTAGTCTAAATCTTGAGATAATAAATTCTGGTAGGATTGCACTGATCCAGGTAGCCCAGGTAACTGCTGTCTGTTGAGGTCAGGTGGATGTTTTTAAAAATGTTTTATTTGATAGTCTTAAACTAACAGTTGCCTATCAGAAAATGATTTCATAATCACTGTAATTTCATGATACAAAAATAACCTAGCCTTTCTTCTTAGCTTTTAAGGCATTATCACTCTAGACAAATATAGAATTTTCAGCAGAATTACTTTCAATTATGAAGATATTAGGAAGGAAAAAATATAGAAGTAGAATTACAGTATTTTATATTGTCTTATAGGCTACCTTACTGTTGTATGTGAAAGCAGCAATAAAGTCTAGTCTTTTAACGTTTGGAATTCTATGTATGAAATATTAATGTTGTATTAATGGTCATTTATAGTGTCCCACGTTCTAGTTCTGTTATACACGACTCTTGCTGTTAATGATCATAGTTTAAAAGTAGTAATTAAATTTGTTCATTAGATTCTGGGGAATGTCAAGCTTGGAACTCAAGAAAAGTGACTGTTCCGTTCTGGTCTCTAGATTGAGAATTCTTTAAAAATAGTTAATTATCAGAATGTTTCAGCATTTACAAAACTTGTCCTAAGCATGTTTTTCAACTTTTTAGCGTGTCAACTCTAATCGCAGAGTATGATAAACACTTGGAGGAAATGAAAGAACAGCTGCAGCTTTATCAGGTATGGATGTTCCTAACATTTCAGACTGTGCATTGTTAATGTTATTAATATCTAGACCACTAGTTTTTGTCATGCTTCACAAACCTGCTGGACTGTAGTTTGCCTCAAGCAGATGAATGGAGAGCTTACTGTGAAAAGACTGGGACATTGTCCAAATTGCAACAGTTTACTGTTTGGAGAAGCAATGCTGTGAAATGAAACGTGCACATTTTATTTCTCTAGATGCTCTGATACAGTTGCAGGTGTATTTCTAGGTGACATTGAGACGAGATAGCTGTTTCCCTCTTTCCTTCCAGGTCTGATCTGATGCAGTCCAACTCAGTCCTGCAAGTGTAGATACACCCAACCTCCTTCATTCTTGTTAATTCTTCAAGTTCAAATATTTCTTTAAACGTGTATTATCATGGAAACTGAAGTGGAAGGGAACTGTCCTCTATTCTGTCACAGAAAATGAAACTTTTTAATGCTTTGTAACATGACTGAAAAGTGAAGTGATATGTTTAAAACCTGTGGCATACAGAAAGCAATTTTTTAGTTGTGATCTACACAGAAATTATACACTGGTTTTGGTTTAATGCACTGAATTTGTTTGATCTGTCCATCATAAAGATTTTACAAATAAAGTCTTCAAGCTTGGCCAATATCAGAAGGCAGCAGAAGCAGTAAGGTTTTGGTTGCACTGCTTAACAAAACAGCCACTTTGATTCACGTAACTGAAGTTTCTTCTCAGTTTCCTAAACTTTTCCCAAATGCTTATGGTATGAAAGATGAGACTTATCCACTGTGCCCCTAAAAGAACTTGAGTTAATTCAAAATCAAACTGTAAGACTGATAAGAATTTCAAAAGGTTAAGTTTAATGCCCAAAATAACATCTGAATGCTGAGGTATAACAGGACTTTGCAGCTGTTAAATTTAAGCAGCATCCCTGAAAAAAAAAAAAAAGAGTTTAATTTACTGTGTTATGCTGAATTAAGTTGTCCATCTTTTAGAGTATCATTCAGAAATAAAAGATGAAATAATTACCACAGTTTGTGTAACTTAAATGAGTGCTTATTCTTGTATGTCTTGGTGTCAGGTACAAATGAGCGAGATGAGGCTAAAATTGGAAGAAGTCACCAAGGAAAATGAAAGGTAAATAATTGCACTCCCATGTTACTACTGTTCTTTTGATTTCTAAACATTTTAAAGCTTTTTTTCTAGAACCATGAAAACTTTGAAATCTTCAATTACTAAGTAGATTCAGGATTTTAATGTTAGAGTCTTAAAATGCTTAATACAGATTACAGCACCAGATATAGGAGTTTTAACCACATTGCTAGAAGAACTAGATATGGAACTATTTCAAACTGTGTTCTGTGTTTATAGAACGTAACTTAATAGATTTAAATTTAATTAAGAAGTAAGTAGTATGTACAGATGGAAGGCACAATATATTTCAGTTGTTAAAAAAAATACCTGTTAAAGAAATACTTTGCTGAACTCAGTCCTTTGAATTTCAGGCTGCATGCAGAGTTGAAAGAGGTTCTTGAGAAGCAACTGGAGGCTCTTCCTTCCATGCATCTGGAAACTGATATTCCTTCAGATGAGGTTGTAGTGAGAAACCTTCAAGAACAACTACGACTGGCAAAGCAAGTGTGTGAGATGAAAGATTTATACTGTTTTATTTCTCTTGTTGTGCCTTCACAGATTAGGGAAAACTGTTTTATTTCTTGATTCAGAATTCATTTTTTCCAGAGTTCCTGGAAACTGTTTTGAGGCCCTCTTGACATGGAATTTAAAGACCTGAATTCTTTCTCTAGATTCATAGAAGAATTTTTTAATATTAATTTGTGCCAGTAACTTTATCTAGTTGACTTGATCTGTGTGTTGAATTTATGACAAGCAACTTAATGATATATTTTCTTCAATTCACATTTTTTGTAGTAGCTTGTCATTTTAATCAAGACCACTGTAATGTGATATGAGGAGGTCAAATATATATATATTTGTGGGATATAGAAAATATTTAAATCTGAAAATACAATCAAATTTTGTTCAGCTTATTACAATGATCTGTCAATCCTGTTGTGTACGATTAAGTTGAAGTTAATTTGATAGCTGAATTTGGTATTTGATTATTATCTATACTGTAGGCCTACCTTAAAACCTGTGAAAAGTTTGAGTTCTTCAGAAAAATAAAGCAGAGAACTCGTGATTCACTTGTAAGCAAAATTTGAAATTCTAAGCATGTTTTTCTGCGTCTGAATTTGCTCTGTGTACTTAAAATGTGAGCAGAGGAAAGTATAGGTAGTGGCATTTCTTCAAAACAGAAGTTAAAAATCTCTCTTTTTAGAGAATGATAGATGGAGATAAATATGCTATCATGGAATATTTTTACAAGGTATTGTTCTGTAACTCAGGAAAAAGGACAAGCAGTTGAGCTCTGGCAGACGTTGTTACAGGACCGCGATCGACTTCAGCAGCAGTACCAGGAATGCCTGACTGAAACGCAGATTCACGCCACTGAAAGGAAAAGGCTGCATGTAATTTTCATTTATATCTTTGTTAATTTTGGTATGTCTTCCTATACTGTAGAGATTCTGGATCTGTGTGTAGTCAAACTGAAGTGGGTGTGTTCTGACAGTACCGTTATGATTCGGTTATTGAAATTATTAGAGATTCCTCTGCCCGAATTAAGGTAGAAATGAGACGAGATGCCCAAGTCAGTAGTATGGGTTTTATTTAATGGTAAATGTGAGACAGAGATAGAAAGAAATAGGAAAAAGAGGAGGGAAAGAAAGAGAGTGACAGAGATTAAAATAGAAAATGGATCACCACTGCATGTAATCCATCAGTGTCCTGACAGTCCGGTTCTTCTGGTCTTCTTGGTAGTGAGGGTCCCACAAAAAATAGAGTCCAGTGGATTAATATATGTTCAGGAGATACCAGGCATCTTCCCTAGAGGTGGGGAGGAGCTTTGCAGTCTCTTGTGGCAGGCTCTGAGTTTGTTTCCTCACTTGGATCCCATGCAGTCCTTTAGTGGTAGAAGGCCTCAGGAATGAGTTGCAGGGGCGCTTTGGGGGTCTGATAGTTTATGACCTCTTCTCATCTGCCTCTCACATGAATGTCCTGAGTGTCCGTGATCTTTCTGGTTACTCCTTTGGTTTGATATGGAGAGATTTAAGAAAGCACCGTCACACCCCAAAACCCTTCTCCTCCACCAGCTCCTGGGCCTTGTTTATTTCTCCTCAGACCTGAGATGGTTAGACACTAGTCTCATCTCAAATCCCCAGTCACAGTCCAAATTCCAGTCATGTTTCCAGTGGTCTCAAACAGGCAATTGCTTCTTTGTTTGACAAAAAGTCTTTTTATTATTTGGACAATGTTTAAGACATTACCGACACTTCAGTCCATCATGAGAACTGTTAATTAATTATTTTCCATAATAGTCATCTAAAGTTGAGTGGTCAGATGTGGTCACTGATTCGTCAGCTAAATGCACCATTACGATGATTGGAAAAGTTCTTTATTCCAAAAACACGGGCAGAAACCTTGGGGAATGCACTGAGTCTGAGTACATATATATATATATATATGTATACATGCACAAGATATGCATGTGCATATAAATAATTATGTATTTGACGTGCATGGTTGGAAATCTTTAGTGGCATAAAACATCTGAAAAAGTTGCCAGAGATTTCTGAAGTCTGAAGTGAAAGCCTTCCATCTGTTCTCCTGTGTTTGAATAGTGGGAAAAGTGGTCTCCATTCCCTGTTGTTATTCAGTAAGGAAGCATTTGTAAACACATGAAAAATGAAGTTGACCAGTATTTGTCTAATGTTAGCTTGTTTCTCTTCTGCTGTGTCTGGGGAAGGTCTTTCAGGAAACCTCTTTCAGAAAAGCTCCTCTGCTCTGATGAGCTGTATAAACATCCTCAGTGTGTGAAGAACTAATAGAAACTTTTTGCCTGTATGTACCTCGCTGCGTGTATTTCTATGTCTGTAAAGAGAAGCTACAAATATTTTAGTATTTCCTTTCTATTTTCATATGAAGTTCACCTTAGCAATGTGATCATTTCTGAGAAACAGGATAAATATCTGTATCGCTATTGAACTCTGTCAAGTTTCATAATTATTTCAAGGAATGAGGACTCTCATCTTTGTGTAGTTCCAACTTTCTGCTCTTATTTCTTCTATTAAGTTTTTTCTTGTGTTAGTTACTGGTAACATACTCCCACAGTAAATTGTAGAGATCCATTGGTAGCTGTTGGAGTGTTTAGGGCTGTCAGATTCCACTTTTCCTTATTGGCTAAATTTTTGGTGGATTTTAATGCCATTGGAACAAGAGTGAGGTTAATCAGACTTTTATTCTTAAATGCTATTGGTCGCCCAGAGGCAACACTTTTTAGTGTAAATAGACTTTTATTTTAGGGTTACTTTTATAAAATAGCTGTCAGAGGTAAATAGAAATAGTTAAGACCAACTAGAATTAGAACTGAAAAAAAGCAAAGAAAAATCCTTATCCTTATAAGGATTGGATATAGTAGGCAAGTGAGTTGCAGGAATAGGGTTCTGGCATATACTTGACCTTGAGACTGCTGGATGAACGCAGCATGATTAGATATTTCAGCTCAGGGACTTCAGTCCTCTCTGTGGTCTGAAGGCACTTGGCACGCTGCAGATGACTTTTCTGTGTCACACTAGTTTTTGTAGGATGACAGAGTTCACATTCAGGGACTCGAGCTGAATTGAGCCATTTTTTTGTTTGGACTCAAGACATGGCAAAGAGCAAATTAAACATGTCCTGTACAGGTATTTTTTTAGTTAAGGGTTACATGTCTGTTACTGTGCTTAGCAAAAATGCTTGTAATAGCATCATAGTCTGTTTGGCTCGTTATAGGCACTGCTTTCATGTTTTGAGAGTAAGTGCTTATGAGTTTTGGAAGGAGACAATTTGTAACTGAGTGACAATGAGATACCTTGTTCATTAGTAAATCTGTTTTTCTGAATTACGAGGTCAACAGCTAAAAGCAATCTCATTAAAATCTACAGAGGCATACTGAATTTCCTGCTACACTTGGAGCTTTTTTGAAAATATATTCAGTTGACTATGAAACTTTCTAATTATTTACTCTTTATTATTATAAGAATTATAAGAAGCTTTGATTTCTTGTTTTAGGATCAACTGACTAGCTGTCAACAGTCAATTCGACAACTACACATGGCCAATAAGAAAATGGAGTTGGTAAGTAAAACCTTCTGAACAGTGAGCTAGTAATTTTTTTTTTTTTTTTTTCCTCAGAGTAAGCAAAAAGGCCTTCATAAATATCTGGTTGAAAAAGAAATTGTACCACTCAAATTTGCAAACTTCTCCAGACAAAAATCCGTTAGTGATGGCTTTACTCCTAAACTCCAAACACCATGTCAAGGTAGCTGAGAGGTTAGCTTTTAATGTATGGGAGCTCTTTCTTCTAGAATTCAGTGGTAAGCTTACACTCAGAATTGTAGTATGTGGTTAGTGTACATATTCAAAACCATCTTCACAGAGGAAAAATTTATTTAAATGATGATGCCCTCTTTTATATGCTAGCTCTGCCACGTGTTTACCCTTCCTGTTTTGGTTCTGTTGACTTCAGTGTCTTTGTCATTGACATTTTTGCACGTTTTTCTGAGCTCCAATAATCTTCCAATGTTTTTTTCACAGCCTTAGGTTGTGAGACTTCTTAGTTGCTAAGCTTTAGCCTAGGACTTCCAGCATTGACAGTTTCTGTATTGTAGAAAAACTGAGGTGAAAAATGGGGTGAAGCTTTTGACTGAAGGGCTTTGTCTTTAAAAGACATGATTCCTATGTGATTTTTTTTTTCTCTATTCGTTTTGAATATTGGCAGTGCGAAAAGACTTCTGACTTACTCTAACAGTCTACTCTCTTTTTTTCTTTATCAACCAGACTTTTTTTCCCTCACTTATGACCCCCTTTTGAAACGTAAGCTTGTTTCTTTGGTGTGAAACGTTGTAGGTAGGAAGGAAAGATTACTGCAAGCTTTGTCATGATGCCTCTGTCACAGAAAACTTGTATATTGCCTCTTTTTCCTTTCCCTGCATTTTGTGTTGTGTTGAAAGCAAGTCAAGTCTCTGAATGTTATTTGACAATGTTTTTAACATACCTAATCATTCTGCTTGCTGACGTCTGAGTTCTTTCCAGTTGTGCCATCATTCTTCAGCTGTGGTGCTGGAACACCACACTACTCCAAAAGAGGAAGTTTTGTCTGAAGATAGATACCTTAGAGTTACTGGGGGGGTTGCTGTGTGAAAACAGTCTCAAATAAATACAATGATGTGCTCTAAAGCAGTTTTGCTGAGGATTTGGAAGTTCCCAACTGTTTGAGCTGTTGTTACAAGCAAATCAGTAGTAGGTACCTTAAAAAAACAGGATCACCCTATGATTAAAATCATAGAGTTGGAAAGAAATGATGTTGAGAGAAAAGAGTTAAACTAAAGGAAAGAGATGAAACAGACAATATTTAAGATAAAGGGCATCTGTTTGTTTGTATTATCCAATAACATTTGACACCATCTGTTACCAAAGGCATGTCATGGGATAAAGCAGCATGCCCTTTTTTCAGCTAACAAACTGAAAAATAGAAAGTGAAGAGACAGAGTAATTAATCAGGTTTTTTATTGTGATAAACCAGCTGTGTTTCCTAGATGTGCTCAGGTTGGAGCTGTTCAGTATATTTATATGTGTTCTGGAAATGAGATTCAGTATTAAGGCAACATTGTTCACTGCTGATGTTAAAATATTTAGAGTAGTGAAAACTGAAGTAAACTGCAGAAAGATCTCGTGATGTTGCTTATCTGATGTAATTTTATCAGGCATTTTATTGGCATCATAAAACCAAAGTAATACATGTGGGCAGGAGGGGGCTTTCACTTTGGGTATGCCATGATGGTCTTGAAATTAACTTAGCATTCAGAAGAGGTATTTTAGAAATAGGAAGTGTTTGAAAACAATTCTTAGGAACAGTCAAAAAAAGCAAGAAGAATATTAATATTAATAATTAATAGGAGAGGGGAGAAAAAGGAGAATATTGTGCATTTTGAATGCTGCCTGCCATTATGGTCATCTTTAATATCTCAATGTAAGATATATGGAAACTCTAGAAAAGGCTAGTAGGGTAACAAAAATATGAAATTATTCTGAAATGAGAAGTCAGTTGAAGGAGAATGACACCTCCAGCACTATGGCTTGCATAGAAAAGAATGAAGGAGGAGCAATTGCTCATTGTTCCTTGTCCCTAAAATATAGGAATTTTTTGCAGCATGTGTGGTCTGCTGGGGTACTAAGTGTCACAAGGGATTCTAGGCACCTAAACTACATGGAAGTGCAGGTGACAGGCCTGAGCTACTGCAACTTTTATCTCGTGAAGTTGTTCTGTTACCAAAATATGGACAAAGAAGGGAAGGAACATCACTCTGCTTTTGCCTTTCTAAAATACTCTACGTAAACCTTGGCACTTGAAGACCAGCCACAGTGTTAAATAGACCTTATTGGCTATTTTTATGATATAATATTCTGTAAAAATGTCCTATAAAAACTCTGAATACATAACGTTTTCAATACTATAAGGAACATGTTAGAAATACCTCCTTATTTTGCAGACCAATCAACAGTTTCTGAGAACTGTGACAGAACAGAACGTGGAACTAGAGCAGCTGCGACAAAAACTGAGGTATAAACCCGGCAATTAAAAAAATATTTAATATCTTTCCTGTAGCTTTTCCCAGCCTGCTGCTGTATCATGGGCCTTGTTTGTACTGCAGGCTAATTTCATAGTGATAGCTACAATGGTTCCAGTTAGTGCCTCTGAAGATTGTTAGACGTGTGCATCATTAGTGTTAGGGTAATGCATTTCCACTTAGTGTGGTTTGGTTCAGCTTTTCCCTGAAATATTCAAGATTTGATCTTTGATTTAAAAGGAACAAAGTGTCAGTATCACAGCACAGTTGACTCTGAAGATAGGTTTTCATTACAATACAGTTTACTCAAAATCCAATTATGTGGTTGCTCATTACAGTTCTGAAATGTTCAAACAAGCTTCGAGTTTTAATTTTTTTACTAAAATTTGCATTAATTTATCAGTAAAGAGCTCTAAACCATAGGTTCTGTGGAAGTTAGAGGTAAGAGTACTGTTAATTACATTCCTGGAGTATATCAAGGAAAATGTGGAACAATGTCTGGGACACAGTTTCAAGATTTTTCTGTTTACAGCCAAAATCTATTCAGTGCCAGTTTACTGTGTCTGTTCTCTCTTTAAATTAGTGATGTTTGAGGTCAACATCCAAACTTAATTTCAGTACAGTGGTGGATTATCTTGCTCTGAACTTCTCTTCCCAAATGCCCAAATATGTATGACTATTTTTGATTAGTTGCTGGTTTATATCTAGTGAAATTGTGAGTTAATTTAGGAAGTGCTGCAAGAAGTTCTGGTTCTCCAAGAAGTCTGGAATATTTTCACTGGTTGCATCTCTAACATGAAGTTACATAGACATAGTTCACATGGATTATGTAGCATCTACCACAGGCAATTCTAATCCTTTGGGATGTCTTTAATATTTACACGATTTATGGTGATTGAGTAGTACATCTGGAATGGAAAAATGGATTTAAAAAAACCCAACAACTTGTGTATTAGAGAATTAAGATTTTACTTAGGTTTTTGTGGACTAGGTAAAACACACAAACTAAGAAACTTGGCATTACTAGGGCATGTATCTGCATTTCAGAATCTTAAAGCTCTTAAACAGAGATAACTTGCCAAGATTATGTTAAAGATACACTGTAAAGAATAAAAGCTGCATCTTTGAAATCAATTTGTTGGCTGTAAAATGCACACCTCTGCATCTGATCTGAACCTGAATTTGGTCATTAAAATGCATTTTTAATACTTAAGCAGTTCTCATTTTTATGGCCTTTTTATATTTTTCTTATTTCTCCTTTCTTATGCTGCCTTTTGAGTTTTTATTTTGTTTAACAACACCTTTTAAATATTTTGGGGGAAGCAATTTAATGTCCTTCTGAATGTACCAGTACTTTTTGTAGGAGAAATATGCATGATTTCAGGTGGAGTAAGATCGAAGTTTTGGACCTGCAAGAAAGACTTGTGTTTGGGAATAATGTTTTTATTGTAGTTTTTTCTCTGAAAAAAAAAAATGTAATCAAATTAACTTTCCATTAGCATTAGCTAACCTAGTATGTTCTAAACCAATATGTTTTATCTATTTAAGATGTTTATATTTATCTAATATCTTCTAAATCTAATATTCTAAAACAGTTTGCTCTGTTTTAACTTTATCAACAGTCAGTCACTGGTCTTTAAATTTAGCCTAATATGCAACCTGAATAATTGGGTTACACTCGAGGTGAAGGGCAAGTCAGAGGAGTTGGAGGATTGCTGATTCCAACAGGCTTTTGTACCAAGGATGAAGAACCACTAGTCATCATTAACTTGATTCATTGACTAGTTTAATTTTTAATCTCTCCTCTTTCAGCTCATAAAAACTATTCAAATTACAAAGCACCTAATTTAAATTCTTTAGAAGTGTTTAATGATTACTTTTTTAAATTCCTAGTCCTATTGCTCTAAAAAATGAAATCTAATTCTGTAAAAGACTTCTCTGTTAGGTATCTGTGGCTAAGTATACTTAAGGTTTTGAATCACCTAAAGTTTTTGATTGCCTAGTCTTTCCAAATATTTAATCAAAGCATACACCTTCCTTTTAAGCTGACTTCTCAAAGTCATTTCCACAGGACTGTGGAATTTGGTATTCCTCTCTCACTGTACCACACAGTAAGAAGGAAAAGGGGGAAACCTCTTCTGCCCTGTTAGAACAGTGTTATGAAATCTGACTGCCCTTCACAGCTATTTCAACAAAGTTGTAATGGAGCTATTTTTTTCCCTCTATAATAATTGTTTTCTTTACATACAGGCAAGCCAAAATAGATGGGCAGGCAGCAAATGCTAAGCTTGAGGAAATGACCAAATTGAAAGAGAAGCTTCACAGCCAATTGGAGAGAAAGGTATTCTAGAGAAAGGAATAATTTCTGTTGCAATTGAATAGCCAGTCAGTTTCTGAATGCCGATGTTAAATTATTTGCAAGTTGTTCCTTAGCTTGTTTTATGTGAGTATATCTTTATTTTGTGCAGGGAAGCTCAGATCCTGTCTGGATAATACATTTATTCTTTCTAGGAAGGAGACATGGTATCTGCTCGGGAAAGAGAAACAGCATCTGACAAACGCTTGCTGCAAATGCAGTCTAGTTTAAAACAATTAGAAACCAGGTAAAGATAACTCACTGGGTGTTACTAACAGGATGCATTCCAAAATTATGCCTTGATTCTGCAAAAATAGAGTGGTTGTTTTGTGACAAACACTTTAGAAGGTAACAAAGCATTGCTGCTTGAGAAGGCAGCCTGAGTGTCGCTAAAGTGCTTGCTGTGGATGTTTAGGGCATTTAGAGCTGTGCCCTTCATTGAACCAGCAGCACTTGTGAACTTCGAGATTTTTTTGAGGATCACTCTGAGGCTCTCTTGCCCATTCTTATGCCTTCCAGTACAATCATAATTAAACAATAGGCATTTCTCAGCTGTTGTTTTCTTCTAATAATATAGCTGCAACTTCATTGCCCACATCCAATTACTCTGTTTCCTCCACAGAGGAAAACTTTATTTCTTTTGGGGCTCTTCTATTCTGGTTTAATACAGAACATTTTCAGAGATGTATCTCAGGATAGCAACATTCTTTTAAGGACCTTCTGAGATTAGATATCTGAGTGAACTCCTTTAATTCTCTTTCTTTCTAGGACTTGATTAATATCAAACTCAAAAACAATGCAGTTTTGGCAGCTCATGAATAGATGCTTCCTATTAGTTCAGTCTGAATGGATTAGTGCCTTAATTAACCACGTTATTGTTAAATGAGTAAAATTACTACTGTCTTGTAGATTACTTGTTACTGTCCAAGAGGCTGAACAGCTGAGAACAGAAAGAGCAGCCCTGGAGGAGCAAATCAAAGAGCTTCAGGCCAAGGCTGCTAATCTAGAAAGTGAGAAGTATGATGCTGTTGTAAAAGTCCAAGACTGCATACAGCTCTTGGAAGAAGCTAACTTGGAAAAAAATCAGGTAAGTCACTGGATGAAGGTATTTCTTAGAAATTGGAATACTTTCATCACTTACAGTTGTGAAGAGCCTGATTTACACGTTCTCACAGGCGTACATGCGTGCACGGGCTCGCTTCTTTTATGTCTGTTGTACTAAAATTAGTAATGCATAGATAGCAAACTGGGAGATGGCATTGCTTAGGCTTGTCATTTCAAACACTGTGTTGAGTGCCTGGATAAATGTGATCTAAGTGATAATACTGTGCCTGAATACGAATTTTCCAAAATTTTTGACAAGAGTTTCTTATCGCATACTTACAAACAAATTCTACTGTCAGAATGAAAAGGAAAGGTTCTGTTGTGAATTTGTAACTTAAAAACGGCTAGGAAAGAACAGCTAAACTAAAGGGACTTTTTTGTCTTGTGAGGGACATAAGTCACTAAGAGAGAGAGATCTGTGTTCAGAAATCTTAAAAAGCGACTGAGTAATGAGTGGGTAAAGTCTGCAGTCAGGAAAAATGTGAAAATATGTTTATTAGTCTATTATAAAATGGCAGAAAAAATTCAAACGTACCATATTGGCTGCTGAGTTTAGTCTTACCAGTCAAAAACCGGTTTAAGGGATAGTGTGGATCTCTTTTAAGAACACATTCACATAATCCTCAGTGGTGCTCAATAAAATTAATAGGATGTTCAGAATGGGAATTAAAAAAAAAAACCAAACAAACCACCTTTAAACACAGTACCCCTTCGTGTGCAGTTTATATCAGCCCATTTCAGATGAGACATAGGAGAACTAGGAAAGTACATGAGGAGTCAACAAAGAAATCTAGATATGTGGAAAGGCCTTAAAAGAACTTTTTACATACAATGTGTGATTAAACTGTCATAGGATGATGTGTATACCAAAAGTATAGATATGAAAACAGTAAGATGCACAACAGGGCAATCCACCAAAACTTCCTAAAGAACAGGACCTAATCCAGCAAGTCTTGAGAAGCCTGTTGATCAAAAAAAATTAGACCCCCTGTTTTCACAAATTTTAACTTTCCTAAAGTATCTGCTCTTTGCCCCTTTAGAAAATAGGATACAGGGCTTGGTAAACTTTTGTCTAATATGGGCTCTTTGTGTTTCAATGCTAAGCTTCTGTTCTAGTCAGACTTTTGGAAAATTGTGTTTGCTTCTGAGGCAGAACTTTAATGCCCATCCAGAGACTGTAGGTGAAACCCAGTTAATGTCTGTGGGAATAAGTGGAGGATCTTAGAAGTGATTCTGTTTGGGCTTAACAGTTCAACACTGTTGAGCAGCTAAAAAGATAAAACGCTTCCTTTTAGCCTGGAGTTGCTCTTCAAACTCAGAGACGAAACAAAGCAGACAATTCTTAATTTAGTGCTCTGGCAAGTGGTGTCAATACATTCTGTAATCTTTTCAGACCAGTATCTCATGTTACAGTGTAACATCAGTAACTTGCTTGCACCTCTCAGAGGAAGGGCTCCTTGCTACACTATTTTCTGTAACTCTCCCAATTTTTTTTTTATGCTAAAGAGCTGTTTGGTTCACTGTATCCAACATGAAAGGGTCTGCATACCTGTTCTGTAGTTACCTATACATTTTTATTCCTTTACTTTTAGTTTTCTCGGAGATGAGTAGTATATGAACAATAAAAAATGCTTAGCCCTATGTAGGAGTGTATGTGAATATACAGGTATTCAGTTTTCAACAGAGAGCTTTTGCATGCATTGTTGTCAGCATGTTTTTATTACTGATACTGGCACCAGATAGAAACAGAACACTGCAAAGTAGCTTTGCCATTTGCTCTGAGTTCTTGTGCTTGCTTGTGTGTAATTCCATGCTCAGCCAAAATCTGCAAGTCCCAAAATAAAAAAAAAGCACCTTCTGACGCTAACTCTTTGTGTGATTCTGATTTGCAAGAATGTGCATTTAGTGCAACATCTTTTCACTGTTCTTGTTTTCTTGTTGAGTCTCAGTGTCTGTTTTTACTGCAAAGTAAAAAAGGAGAAAAAGGTGTCTTTTGATCAGTGACTATGTGTGGTTTCTTCTCTCCGTGCTAGGTACTGTGTCACACTAAAATATCACTCATATTTAAATTTGGTTTTTTTTTTTTTTCCTAGGCACTCTTTGGGGAGAAACAAAAGGAAGAGGAGATCAAAAAAATGAAAGATGAAATGTCTCAACTTGCAGAAGATATTGCTGCAAGAATTAGAAAGGCAGTAAGTTAACGATGTTTAGAAAGAATGGGAAGATTTTTTGGTTTTCCTCAGGGTGAACAGCTCTTGCTGGTGCATGGTCATCATGAGCAGTTTTCTTACAAATGTTTTGATAATAAAAGTGGCAAGGCAGCATGCTGATAGTAGATACTCTTCAGCTTTGTTGTCCAGACATGTATTCTTCTGAACTAAATGGTATTCTTAAATCTCTCAAGAACCAAAACTGTTGATGTTTGCACAGACTGTGGTGTAGACAAGGCTGCACTGTGAAGATGTAAAGAATGATACCCGTGGTGTCTTCATTTGTGGTTTTTTTTTCTCAACACCCTCAATTAAAGTAGTACTGATTGATAATAATAATTCTTCTAACATTCATGTCATAAGATTTGTCAGTTATTGCAGTCCCAGATATTTTCATATATGCACCACTATGTAGGCTATATATGTGTATATCAAAAAGCAAGATAGAAAACTCGTTGGTGGGACTAATTTTTTAGTTTTACTTTGTTTTTGCTCACAGGTAAACACTGCAAAGAAGCAATGTAATGTGCAGGTTTCTCGGCTAACAGAAGAAATTTCGGCTCTTCAGATGGTAAGCAGTTGACTGACAAAAACATTTTTGATTAGCAAAACATTTGAGACTTCTAGTTATTGCTAATCAAATAAAATACTATATTCCAATAAAAGAAAGTCTACTAACGTGATTAATGAGTAACTGTGGAGGACAATATGCTATTACTGTAGAGCACGATGCTCTGCATGTTTCCAGACATTAGTTCACAAACAGTTTGACCATGAGATCTGTACTCTAGCAAATATTTTCTATGTGATGGCATTTCTGAAGTATCCCTGTTTCTTTCAAGGATAAGCATGGAAAGCTGAGTTTTGCCTATCTATAGATGGGTACGTAGAAATGAAGTAGATGAAAGCTGATAAAGTATCCTAAGATAAAGTCTGTGCATCATGGTCAATGTATTCTTGAATGAACCAGGAACTTACAATAAATTATGCAGGTGACCAAAAGAACTCAGTGCTTAATGCGCCTATTTATGCATTAAATTTATTTTTAAAAGGTTTCATTTTATGTGTCTTAATTTGTGCATTGTATGATCCCATAAAGAAAACAATGAACAGATAAATATACATAGCAGCAGTAAGAACTACATTTACGGTGGGCAGGGTTTGGCTTTGGCACTTCTTGGATTTTTACTCTGATTTATTAGAATCTATTTAAAAATTACTTTTAAAAATAGGAATGTGGAGAAAAACAGAGTGAAATTGAACGAGCCATTAGAGAGAAGAGAGCAGTGGAAGAAGAACTTGAAAAGGTAAGGCAATTGTATGTGTTTTTACATCACATTTAAGATCTCTTTTCAGAAGGAAAAGTTATATTGATTTTTCCCATTTTCATGCGTTTTTCCCCTAATTTTATTTTATTTTTTTAGTAGCTTTTCTTAATTGCAAATTTTCATGTAATTACTCTAAGGTTGATTGGTTGGGTTTTTTTTTAAATCCAGAAAGTGTTTTAAAGCTGCAAGACTGAACTGAAAAAGGAGGTTCTTTGAAAAGTGTAAAAAAGTAACAGGGAGACATTTAACAACCTGAAAGAATACTGATCCAGTTAAAGTTAATAGACAAAAAACTTAATAAATGTCAGATCAGATCTTTGAAAACTTTTTTTTTCAAGCAGCATCAGCAGCACAGATACAATGTTAAAAAATTCAGTTTTGTTTTAAATCACTGGCAAATAGGATTTGCAATGAGAAGTAAAATAGCCTCCTTGTCAGTACCACACTGCCAGTCACCAGGGCAAGGTAAAGATGATCTTACATGTACATTTACTCATTTTCAGATTTTGAGGGAAGACAGAGGGCATGAATCTGACAGTAGAAAACTAGAGCAGCTGTATCAGAAGTACTTACTTGCAGAAGCTGCAAAAGATGACCTTCAGCTAAGTCTACAGACAACACAAAATAAACTGAAACAACTGGAAATTAAGTAAGTGATGTCACAGATGTTACAGAAATACAGGATAAAGCCATGGAGATTATTTCTGACAATTTAAATTGTCGAATATGTGATAGGGTTTTGTCACATCTTTTTAAACAGTAGCAAACATAGTATCAAGATACCATAATTCTGAAATCTAATATTAGATTGATTTTATTAATTCCGTCATGTTGATAAAATTCTTTGCTGACTTTTGCATAGTTCTTGCTGTCCAGCCCATTAAACATGCTGAGCATGTTTAAATGACACAAACTTTCAGAAGGAAATGGGGGAACAGCTGTACTGGGTCTTACCAAAGACCTGTCCTGGTCTCTATCTTTTCTTCTCTCGTTCAGTAGTTGTTCAGTTATTGAGTTTCAACAGGACTTTCCTTCCCTTTCAGCTCTGAGGAAGAGAAATCTCGTTGCCAGGAAGCTGTCTGTAAATTGCAAAGCATTCTGGATTCAGAACGAGAGAAGAGTGCCTTTGTCAGTGAGCAAAGACTAAAGCTTCAGCAAGAGAATGAACAATTGCAAAAAGAAATAGAGGGTTTGAGAAAAATGGCAATAGAGGCTCAACAAAAAGCTAAAATAAAGGTATGCTTTATATGTTATTTTAATTGTAATGTGAGACTGATATTTGCTTAATAAGGCAGCAGTTCTAAGAGAAAATCATTAAATGTTTAAATTAAGGTTAGAAGTTTCAATGGTGCTTCCTGGTTGTTGCTTAAAAGTAATTTTATTGTAGCATTGTGTCCTCGGAATCTGTTGGGTAGCTCAGTCTCTGCTAATTAAATTGTATTTCAAGGTGTATTGAATTCTCCTTCATAAGAAGACCCCAAGTGTTGTTTTTTATAAGATGAATAGATAAAAATTATATTTCAGTTCCAGATCTTCATCCGTTTATTGTCTCTAATGTATTAGAAATATCTCTCTGACTTTCAGCTCAGAGTGTTCCTCCACTCGTGTGTCCACCATGTTGCCAGGGCAGTGTGTAACCAATAAATAACTTAGTAGAGTGGTTGTGAAACTTTGGTTCTGTATTTCTGGACAGAGAACATTCTTCTAGAAGAGTAGTTGCAAGCAAGGTAATTAGCTGGAAGATGGTTGTTCTCTTTGAACACGTTCCATTAGGTGCACCTGAACTGACTGCATGTAGGATAATGAATCAGTAGTAACCTCAGCAAATTCATGGTGCCTTTGGCTTCTAGAGGGAGGAACAGCTTTGAGCCTTGATGTGCTTTCTGAACATATGTAGCTGGTACTTTCCCCTCTGCAGTGTAAAGGTACTGAAAAGGGATCTAAGAATCTGCAGCAGTGAAGACAAACTCAGCAAGCAGTTTTCAAGTTATGCCTGGGGACCATCTCAAATCTGGTTTCCACTTTGCGCCACAAGATAAAGGAAGCTGTCAAATTTAACAGGGAATCTTGTCCAACTCCAGAGCCCTTTGCTCAAACATAGCTTAAAAACAAAGGATTAGTCTTGTAACAGATAGGCAGTGGCTATAAAGCACATAGCAAATCTTTGTCTGTGTCATTTTAATCAGACAGGCTTCCATTTTAGTCACAAATAACATTTACTGCTTGCTTCTGTTTCCCTCTGATGTACAAAGGATTTCAGATGCAGTTAAGAAACTCCTAACACATTTTAGCTAGACGAAAAAGGAAGAATGTGTTTCTGTGGAGAAAACACAAGGGAGAAGGATAAAGATTATTTACAAAAAAGAAGGATACACAACTCATTATCCTATATTGTCAGTTATACTATTTGCTTAAATTAACTTTGGGAACATGTACCTCTTGAGCATCTAATTACAAGTGTCATTATTGTATATTATATGCTTTCAACAAATATTTATAAATTTACCTCAAGCATTTTAAAACAAAACAAAACAAAAAAAAGCAAAGAGTGAGAGATTTGATTGTACCCAATTTGTGGGTTTTTTTGTAGATAAGCACAATGGAGCACGAGCATGCTGTGAAAGAGCATGGGTATGAAGCTCGACTCAAGGAGATGGAAGACACCAGTCACAAGTCCACGTCTGAACTCCGATGTCTGTTGGTAGCTCAGCAAAAAGCAACCAACCGGTGGAAAGAAGAAACAAAAAATCTTACTGAAACTGCAGAAGCCAGGATCAGAAAGCTGAAGTAAGTGCAGTTTGGTTCCTCTTCTGCAAAGCGTTAGTGTTTTAGTTACCGTGTGGTACGGGGCAGTAGGCCTGTCGTGGAAAACCAGCTGGGCTAGATGATGTGCTTCCAAGGAAACAAGGAAGAATGATCTAAACAGAACTTTTGATGCTCTTTGTGAAGTCAGCACTGAAGTAAAAATGTCATGCCTTGTTGATAATATGTGAGTTTTTGTAATGGCAAAATAAATGGAATGTATTACTTTCAATTTACTCTTTCAAGTTACAGCACACTCAGTTTAGAGAATTTTAGCTTTGGATTATGAAAACTTCTACGCCTCTTCAGAAAAATCACCATAACATCATTTGTGGAGTTAGTCTCCAGACTTCTAGAATAAACTGGACAAAAACATGTTGGCATACACATCTAATGTTCTATTCTGAGCAGTTGGTGTCATAATTGAAGGTACAAATTGGTTGTGTGATTGTCCTAAGAAAAAATAAGATATAAACTTTATCTTAATTCATCTACGTTGCCAAGTAACTGGCTGATACTTGGATTTGCAGCACAGAATGTAGGAATATTTTCAGTTTTGCAAGTTTGCCTTATGTTTTATTTCTTTCTAAGCTCAGGAAACTCTGTCAGCTCAAGCAGACTATAGAGATGAGCCTGACATTTTTATAGAATTGCATAGAAGTTCATGTCCTCAAGATCTCTTCCTCTTCAAAACTGGTTGAAAGTTGGAAGAGATGGACAGCCCAGTACACGGTACCTTCTAAACCAGGAAGCTTGATTTCATAAGTCCCACTTCTTTAAAATGTTTAGAGAAGAACATAACATTGCATATATCATTATTGTTTAGTGAGTTTTGAGAAGAAAAATTAAGGATATGCCGCTCTGTTAACTTTATAAATTTGAAATGACCCTTCAGTCACTTAAATTGTGGGATGCAGTCATGGATGGTTCTTGGCTCAAATTGATTTTAGAAGCTGCTTACTATCATGTTAACAAGGAAGCAAAGCTTTTGCCCTATTAAGATTGGAATTTTAACTTTCATTTCTTTTGGAGTAATCTTGGGATTTTTTTGGTGTTTTATTATTATTGTAACACTTTCCATAGTCTCAGCTCAAACCATAATATTTCCAGTACCTCATGCAATTTTTGGAGTCACAGTTTTTTAAGCGCAGCTTGGCATTTGTTGGCTGTCAGAATGCCAGTGGTGAGTTTCTAAACATGAGCAAGGGAAATAAATTCCTGAAGATGTTGCCTACAAAAAAATCTACTCTACCATTACTCCAACCTGGTTTTCCATCTTTGTAGAGAAGTATGTGGTCATCTTTACCTCTCCAAAGTAGACTGTTACAGCGGTTTTTTACCCTATTTGTTCAGATATAGGCTGGTTTATTTTCCCTTAAAATATACTGCATTTTGCAAATATTATAAAACAGTGCTTTAAGAAGGAAAAAGTCTCTTTCAGAAGAGACTCAACATCAGTGTTGAGCACGTCTGCAAAGCACTGGGAGCTGTGCCTATTCACTGACAGTTTTAGTGGTGTGGCTTCACTCTGTGTAATCAGCTGGCTCTTACTAATACTATTTTAACATCTTTTGTAAATGCTGCAGTAACTGGAGAAGAAAAGTATTTTGCAATGTTTCCTGCTAAGGTAAATTTTAGCTCTTAAACGTGTAGTTTATTTTCTGTAATCAAAATACAAAAACTCACAGCTGAAGCATCTGGATTCATAAGTAGGTCCTGAATGTAGTTCAGCAAGTTCCAGTGAAAAGGGAAAAATTGCAGATTTTCACCCATTAAAGTTGTCTCTGAAACAGCTGGTTTCCTTCTAAAACCTGTAGTGTTAAGTGTTAAAATGTTGTTACTGCAGACCAAAAAATTTAGACCTCATTTATTCTGCAGCAAAATGCTGACACAGAAAATACAACAGACATGACAGGAAGTCTGCTTTGTGAATCTGGATGTAAAATAGGTAGTAAATTTTGAAAATGTCCCTGTTTACGTGACTTCAGCAGATATTTTAGGGCAAGTCTAAAAGCCAAGTTGGTTACTTTTTAAGATGATTTTGCATGTTATGCTTTTTCATACTGTATGAGCTAGAAATGGAAGTTTTCATCAGGCATGTGCTCTACCTTGCAAGGAAGCTGGCAGTAGGAACAGGAAGGTTGTCATTTAGGCTGACATGAGGAATTTCATATTAAATCTGTGCAGTGATGCACTGATCTTATTATGAGAAGTGGCCATAACAGAACCTATACATATTATCTGGAAATACTACAATTAGCCCACTTTTCATATCATATGCATTAGCAAATACCAAGTTACATAGTGTGGAATGCAGTTGGTATGAAAATTAGCTCCTGAGTTACACTCAACACAAAAGTCCTTGCTTGTAATATAAAAGAGTACTTATCACTTTTTTTTTTAATCTTACCACAATAACAATTTGAATGTTTTGAGTGCAAGTGCAGAACAGCAAATCACGTCTTGCTGTGTTGTGAACTAAAATCAAGTTGCTGATTATTTATAAAGCAGACTGATTTTGCAGGAAATGCACTTAGCAGGGAAATTTCAGTAAGAGCACTAAATACAGAACACTGAAAACAGACTGATACTGGTAATATATTAATTAATCTATTATTATTTAAAGGCTCTGTTTGACAGTCCTCTTGAGGCTAATGCAGGAAATGGTCTCACCAAGTCTCACAGTGGGGTCCAAGAGAACGGGGGATTCATGTAAATACGTGAGCAAATGCAGAGGTTGTGTTGGTGGCTTATGGCAGAATTTCAGTTTTTAACAAAAAACCACAGTCTTTAACAAAAATCACCGCTCTTGAAGCATACTAATGTGTTTTAGAACTGAGTGTTTTTCAGGAACTTCCTAACAAAGTCCTCTCCTTGTACCCCAGGGAAGTAGTTTACATTTCACCAGGAGTTTGCTGTTAGTGCAGCTCTCCCAAGCACTGAGTCAGTGTCCCGTTTGTTAGTGTAGGTGTTTCCCATTCCTTTGCCTTAAATTTACGAGCTCTTGGTGTTTTTCCAGTTCTGTCCTTCCTTGTTTTCATTTTCCATGGGAAGGAACCATTGTGGCTTCTTTACTAAGTTCCCAGCAGCTGCTGCTAACTTTTCCACATTGTGCTCCTCATTTGTCATCTTTTAAGTCTGGCAGTGTTCTGTTGGGGAGGTGTAATCCATGTGCATGAAGGAGACATTAAATAAATACTTCTAAGCAATGAAGAAACATCAGTGAATATTAGGTGATTTTTGATTTAAAAAAATTAAGAAGGAAAAGTAAATTTTGCAACCTGTAACAATAGAGCCAGAGTAATGGTTTTGTAAATCGAATGAGAATCTAGTAGATCCATGAGAAACCTGTAGATAAAAATGTTGATAAATTAATTGATAGTTCCAGGCTTATTCTATGCTTTCCTGGATGTTTGGATCTCATTCAAGTTAAACATGTAAGTGTTGCTGTTAAAACTGAATTTGGAATTCAGAACCACCACTGAAACAGTAGGCGAAACTTGTAGACTAAATTGCACCATTTTGTTCATAAAAATACGTTATAGTCCTAGTTTATGAGAAGTTTTCTTCCCTCTAAGCATTTTAAGATGCTTTATGCATCTTAAGGAGGATTTATTGGTAATAGACCTCACCTTCACCTTGCCAGGAGGGCAAGGAACCAGTTTTGCTTCCCTGTCCTTGTGCCAAAGTCATTCTTGAAGGTAAATAAGAAGGTCAGTGCTGCTTGCAGCATGGATCACTGTTCCAAATAAACACACTGCTCTTGGCAGCATGGCTAACAACTCATGGCTAGTTTAGTCCCTTTATTCCTGCAAAATGTCCAGCCTGGCAGTCAGAAAGAAAACTGTTCTGACTTGTGATTGCATCCATTGTAGATACTTCGAGTTCTAACTACGTGTACTGAACATAGACAGGAAATATTTACAATTGTAAAGTAGCAGTCAAATAGAGTGAGTGATTACAGTTAAAGGTTTTAAAAAAGGTAATCTTTTAAATTCTTTATAGGGGTTGAAATGGAAAACAGAAGTAAAGAAATTTCATAAAACAAACTTATTTCAAAATGTAATTTCATTCATAACATGAAAAGAGCTTTTAAGTCTTGGTAAATAATTTACTGTATGTTCATTAGTTTAGTAACTAATTTAACTACTGTATGTTCATTAGTTTCGTAACTGATACTTGAGTTTCTATTTGATTTTTTTTTTTTAATTCTTGTCCCTAGTAATGTTCCTTTGTTATTGCTGATTCCGTTTTCTATCTACTGTTATTTATAGAAAACAGAATCAGCAATAAAGGAACATTTAGGAAATCTGTAAATTGAAAGGAAACAAACTTCGGTAACAACAGAACACGGGACAGAATGAGAAGGGATGAGAAAGAAAGACACTTCTAGCAGCAGAATGTAGGTAAAACTAGGGTAATTCAATCTGCCAGCATTTGCTCAAAGAAAATGAAGTGGCAAGACTGTATGCAGATTTTAAAAATAAGGGCAGATTATTCATTCATTCTGTAAAGTTCACCTTGACCAGTCTGTGCTAAAATGAATGCACAAATACAACAGATGGTTAATCCCATATTATTGGCATATCAGTGTTTTCCATAGATTTTTATGTCCTAATCCTGAGAATGAAGTAGATACAGCTTTTTGGGGTAAAAAGATCAAAAATACTTGTTGTGGCATAAACCCATTATATTTGAATAATTATACTGAACGGCTTTTTTTTTTTTTTTTTAATATTCACTTGAATTATTATTGTCAGTACTTAAAAAAAAGGAATCCTTGCCATATTGGTTTTAAATTGAAATACTTAGCTTAAGTCATCTGATTTCAGCTACTTTGGGTGTCTGTGTTCTAGTTTCTGCCTCTGACACATTTCTGTGTCATAGTTGGAGTCCCTGTAGCCACATGTGGGGTTTGGAGTTCTCAGTTCTATCTCTTCTGTAATTGAAAAGAATCTGCCTCTGAGCAATGACCCTTTTTGGTGGCAGTGTCTGAAATGTTGGCCACAACTGCCTTCTTTTCCCTGCATCCTGTAGAGTACAGGCAGTGAATTGCACAGCACCTTGAGACGAAGAAGTTTCCTCCACTTCTAAAACATTATTCTTGGCTGCACTTGTGCAATGTTTGGCAGCTGTAGCTGCTTATTTTCAGATGTTCATTAAAGAAAAAAGTAGCAGGATGAGAGGCAGATGCAGGTACTGGCAGTATACAAAATTCATAATTACTAAGAGTAACTGAAGCATATTATAGTATAATTCAAACAAAAAAAAACCAAAAAGCTGGCACATGCTATATTTGTCATGAGAGCTTTGCAGAAAGTCCTTGCTGCAGCTGGTGGATTTATCACCCGTCTGCCAAAATGCTAGAAGTTCACCTTTTGTTTCCTACTCACTTAGCAAAGACAATGTACAGTGGGGGCTGATTTAATTATTCAGCAGTTGGGGGTTATTGCTCGATTCTAATACTGAGATCTCATAATGTGTATTTGGGGAGGGTTAACACTCAGAATGAACCGACTGTCTAGCTCAGTAGGCATCACATTTCCTTATGCTTGCTTACAAGGTTAAACTGTTTTCTTTAAATATGTGTTCAGTGTGATCTCATTATAAATGTAATTCCTTGACCACAGCTGTATATGAGCATGTAAAATTGTGTTTATGGGCTGTGCTGCTCAGCATGCTAATTCCACACCTCAGTGCAAGCATAGGAGACAGACTCTTTTCAGTAACGAATTTTTGGGCACCTAAAAATTGGTCTCCTCTATTAAAAATGCCTCATCTTGACACTTGGTATTGATCAGGGAGGACAAATTGCAATAATAATGTTACATATTAACATATCGTCTTGATCCTGCAGTCTTAACCCATCTGTAATTCTTACTTTACATGAAAGTGTTCACGTGGTAACACAGGTATCATCTCCATGATTTAAATATCTGCCTTTTATTTTTATGAAAGTTAAAAGTTTTTGAGCTATTTTTGTGATATCTTCCTGGGATTGGTGAGCGGGGTTGGTTGAGAACAGGGGAGTGGAAACTACTCACCTGGTACAGCGGTGACCCGATGTGACAAACACATTGCAACCTTGTATTGCAGGTGCTGTATATCAAGTTTTCAAACCTCTATGAAATACCAGGTTTAAAAGTTTACGAGTAAATTGTTGTTGAGAGCTAAGTGTCATCATTACAATACCAGAGGCTTTTTAAGATTAAGATCTGAGGCTAAAGTATCTTCTACCTTTACCTCCATTCCCTCAAAAAGAATAAACGCTTCAGGTTCCCTTACAGTGCCTGTAGTTTCAGTAGAGCATCTAAAGGTGAGGTAGTGGAGTAGGGACTGGTCAAAGGTTAGATCAGTTCAGCTTTGCACCTTCCTCTGGCTAAAATTACCAAGGTTCCATCTTTAGTCATCCCACTTCTTCTGTGCCTTGTGATGACAGGAGGCAAGGACTGTTTCCTTTAAGCACAAGCTCAAAGATGTCTGTCATAACCCAGATGTTTTTTGTCTTCAATACTGTGCAAATTGAGGATCACTAAAACTCATTCAATATAAAAGTAAAAAAAACTGCTTTGAAGTAGGTGGTATTTTCCTTTTCCCCATGAAGTGTCACATTGTTGTCTGTCTTACAAGTATAGAATGATTTATTTTTAGGTACTTCAAAGCACCTTTAAAATGCCCACCTTGAAGTCTGGTAAAGGAACACTAATTAGAATGTTAATCTCAATATTGAATGCACTGTGCAAATGCAGCTTATTTTTATAAATACTAGATATCGTGCCTCCAAAATAAGATTCAGTAAACAGAAATAAAACCCTGTAAAATGTCAAGTGCTCTTGACTAACTCCTGCTGATTCCCACAAATACATCTCATTCCTCTGCCATTACAGTTCTGAATACACAACATGAAGAAGTGCTGTGTGGTGCTTTTGAAATCAGTGTTTTAAGAGCAACCTTGTAATTAAAATCCACCATGAGCCCCTAGAATGCAACAAAGTACCTATGAGATTATGTTCCAGTAACTGAAGTACTACTGTGTGCTAATCAGCATCTTTTCTGATTCACAGAAGTGAGCTGTGTCAACAAAAACTTCGTAGCCAGGAGCTCATTTCCCAGCTGGAAAAAGCAAATGAGAAGGTTACTGAGGTAAGATAATGACTGATGTGACAGCTACTTTCAGTTACAACCTCATGTGCATACACTTGGATCTTAACAGAAACCTATTGCTTTGTGCAGAGCCTTTGAAGAGAACAGAGGAGATCTGTAGCAGGTTTATCAGCCCATTTGTATTATCTAGTATATTCCTTTTCCTTTAGAGTATAGCTAAAACATTTACATGTTTTACCTTACACGACAAAGTTGCACGAATTAAATTGCTTGAATTAAAATGTCAGCTTTTATGCATCATCTTGCTTCAAGATGGTGAAATGAGTAAAACTTCCCCTGCAGATTAGTCTGAGTGAAAAAGTAATTTCATGTCATATTTGAGCTGGAAATTCTCTATAATGTGTCAGCAGTTTGTCTTCAGGCTTAAAAGGGAAAACATTTTCTCTTCTGACACTCCTTTGTGTTAAGCTTTTTTGCTGCAGTATGTGTGGATTCAGTGAAAAGAACTTGCCACTGGTAATGAGATATTCCATTTACACAGGATGAGACATATAAAGATGGAATATCGTGAATACATCGACAGGCTCCAAAGACGACTGAGCCAGGCGGAACAGAGGGCAGCCACAGCGTCTCAACAGGTACACAACTCACTTTGCATCATTCCTGAGGCAGGGATGATCATTTACGTGCATTATCACCAATATAATTCTAACAACAAACTTGTATTCTGAATGTGTTGCCTTCTGACAGGATGCCTATGTGACAGCATAGGTTTGTTTATGGAAATCCTGTTCGATGTGAATTAAACCTTAAAATGTGTTAATGAAGGTGTAAGATCATTACCAGCTTCAGAAATGGCAGAGAGCTAGCAAAGACAAAATAACCCCTTTCACTAATTGCAGCTCCTGTTTGCACAGAGCAAGTGGTTTATCTGTTGAAGAACACCCCACTGCAGTTACCATCAGCCACGTGTAAGAGCTGCAGTAACTCCTGCAATGACAAAAATACTGAAAATTGTGCAGATAGAATAGGAAATGCTTGGTTTTTTCCAGGCCATGGGAAAAGGGAAAAGAGAGATGGTGTATGCATGTCACTTTAATTTTTCCATCCTGTTTAAGCTATACAACTCTAAGCAAATCCCAGGGAGGTTTATACACTGGGACCACTTATTTGCCAAGGAGGTTAATACTCAAGTTGGCCTCCTGTTAAGTAAAGATGGTCTTTCTGTCTCCCACTTTTTTTTTTACAGTGATTTAGGAAACTGATTTGCAAATTATAACTTGTTAATGGGGGTGACCCCATGGGAGCTGCAGAGAGAAAATATTTGACTGACCTAAATTGTCCAGTTCTAGGACAAATGGCATTTTTTTCTCAACAGGAGAGAATAAGTGGGCATAGCTGCCAAGCTGTCATAACATAAGCTGTGGTTCCTGGCTCTAAATGCTCTCTGTCATGACAAGGTCTACTCAGCTGCTGAAGATTTGCTCTGAAAGAGTAACTTATTTATTTATTTATTTATTTAACCTCCTGCTTGTTATATGGATCTGTTCAGCTCTCATACTTCTGGGATGCTGTCTTCCTTTAAAAAAAAACAAACAAACATTGTCATGTCACATTTCAAGGGAGTAAACTTGTGGCCTCCCTGCCCATAGAGGAAGAGGTCTTGCTGTTCCAGCAAAGACTGGTAGTTAGCTGTTCCTCACCAGGCTCCCTCGGAAAGGTAACAAAGAGATTTCACAGATGTTGAGCAGCCGAACTGTTGCCCATTTCTTGCTGCCAGAGTTCAGAACTGCCTCGCCCTCTTCAAGCTTGGCAGAGGTTACTGCTGTCAGCTGTCAGGCCCAGCTGCTCTGTACTGACCTCAGAACTGCTGTGCCCAGTTGAAGAATAGACATACCAGCAGTGTCCTGCTGAAGTTTGGAGAAAGAGGTCTTCAGGAGCAGTGCTGCAAGAATGTCCACTCTTCTGAATCTGGGTATTTATTCTCTTCCAGGTCTCAGAAGACTGAATGATGTTCGTGTGTGTGTTCCCTCAGATTCAGAATGGGATTCTCTGTGTTCTCAATCTGGAGGCTGATGGCTGCTTTCTGACTTAATTGCACGTTCTCATTATATTATCCAGCTTACTTGTAAAATTAAATCAAATATATGTTAGAGATGGACTAGTAGGGAGCCTAGAAATTACACTAATTATTGTGGACTGTTCAATTACTCTAAATTTTAGCTTATTCTGAAATAATAGTAACTCAACAAGAAGCATAAAAAGTACAGGATAATGGCTGCACAGGTTTAAAACATGTCTATTCTGTAGGTGTTCTTTAAAGTGCACTCCTGATACCTGATCTTTCATCATCTTGGTCTTTGGGACCTAAAATAAGACAGAAGCAGTAGTCATCTGCAGAGCACACTGTAAATTCTGTTGTTTATCCCAAATTCCCATTTATCTGTGCTTGTTCCCTCTTCTTTGTAACACCTTCAGTATAGACATTCTCCTGTTACTTTGATCCTACAAAGAATTATTAAGAAACTGTTTGCTTGTGTTTCATTACAGCTCAGCCTGATAACTACACAGAATAAAAAAGCTGCTTCCCTGAAGGATCTGGAAAATATTTAAACATATGTATATTGCTCATTCACCACACTGGAGTTGAGAAGATTGCTGGAGAAACTTCGTATTGGAGCACTAAAGTAAAACGCACAACAAGGCTTGTACAACTTAAGCATTTTCTGGTTTATTCCGGTAAGAAAGGGAATGGATGAAGGTCCTGTCTCTGTATGCACAATAAAGATTGGAAGAAGAATGCAGAATGCTGTTGGTGAAGTCTTTAATACAGCAGATGAAAAAACCTGACACAGTACTGTGGAATATTTGGGTTTTTTGGTCTTAAACGTCTCAGCTCCAACTATGACAAGATTGTGTACAGAGAGCGGGTAACACTTGTACTGAAATTCATCTTGGCTTTGGTCACGTACAGTCAATATGGTTAATTTTTCTTTATAGTGCAGTAACTTGGGAACAACGTAAAGATCCTTTATGAGCTGTAGCAAGACTAATTACATAATGAATGCCAAATAGTTGCTGGTTTTGTGGTCAGTGTTTGAGCTGCAAGATGCCTCCACTGACCTTCTCAGTTTTAAGAATTCTGTTCAGTTTGGTCTGGTGCCCCTGGCATACAGGTAGTAACTAAAATGCTGCTATAGCTCCTCAGACAGCTCATTTCTAAGGACTGTAATATTTCTGCAGTTGTACCTTTTCTTCCTAATTACTATTTTGCAATTACTTTACAATTCCTTGCTTTTCTGTTGATCTGCTCCCTTGGTTTGTACATGTCTGGGAACTTCCATTCTCTGACTTCAGTTTGCCCAAAGGTGACATCATCCAGCTTTTATGCCTTTTGAAATAGTGGGACTGAATTCTCCAGATGCCAATATGTGGGATTCCTGTGTTTTTCTTTGATAGTTGAGAAACTTCTTATCTATCATTCCAAACTCGGAGCCAAACTCCATTTTCTCTTTCAGCATGTACTATAAACACTTGATGAGGTGTTACATGATTTTGAAGTACTCCCATCTTAGCCAAAAGTGACATTAATTTCTTGTCCTTCCTCTTAAATGTCAGGAATATAACTTTGCTTTCTAACTTCTAGTTAGTGCTTTCTCCATTTGATACAGATCTGTATCCACTGCAATCTAATTTTGCTAAAAAGATGTTGAAGATTCTTCAAAGCAACATGGATACACTGTCCAAAAGCTCCAGAATTCTACTGGGTCCAGAGTTTCATCAGTCAGCCACGTGCATGATACAGAGGGAGGCAAGTACCGAGCACCTTATTTTCATTTCCATAATGCACAGCTGAGATGATGACCGACCACCTGGAAGATTTTGTGTGAGCTATTAATCCCCTTCACTCCTCAAAGACAGGCTCTGGCTGTGAAGGCTGGCTGGAAGCAGCAGGCAAGTCTAAGTATTTGTGTATTTGTCCTTCAGGGCACAGAAGGGCACCTGTGTGGTTCCTCATTAATTATTACGTTCATTTTACTTTGGGGTCTGGCTCTTGTGTGATGGCTGTTTGCCAGAACAGAAACTGCAGTGATGACACAAGCACCTAACAGTGAAGTTCAGGGGCAGGAGAGCAATTACAACACATGACACAGGAAAGGAAAAGGTCTCCCTCCTGTCTGCCTCTGAGCAGCTAAAAAACAAACCACGAGCGGGAATGTGGTCAAGGAATGTGGTCACATCGTACTGCCACCAACTCTTGTACTTTTCCTTCAGTGTCTAGAGGAGGCTGCTCACATGTTGTTCCCAAATTGGACTTTCAGAGGAAAGGCAATTAAGACTTGAGACTTTCTAGTTTGGTAAGTTTTGCTCCTTCCTTTGTGACACTTCATGGCATGGAGCTTTCCATTTAGCTGTCCTGGCTGTTTTGCGTTTGTTTCTAGCTGCGAATTTCTTGTCCCCCTTTCATTGGAAAGTTTGTTTCTGCAACCTTCCTTTCTCCACCCCCTCCACCAGGTTTTGAGTAGTTTAAAGATTCCTTAGTGTGGCAGTACTGCCTCCCATTGACTAAAAATGTTCTTGACTGTCTGTTTAGGAAACATTTCTAGGTGATCAGATTTTTTGCATTTAACAGGTGAGATTTCATTTTGGGTCTCCCCAAGAGCCCTACCCCTTGTGAAACGGGCCAGATGGTGGTGAGATCTATCCCTGGTGTTTTTCAAGAGGCAGTGCTAGATGTGAGCCTTCACAGCCTTGTAAACTTCTTGCTCTGCTCCAAGTCCATTCCACATTTGTGCATCTTGAGTTTAGAGGAATCCTCATCTTGTAGAAATCCTGCTATTACCATCAAATGTTCTCTCAGCAATGCTTGACTCCAGGCAGCTCAGAATGTGAAATGAACATTCAGCCTAATTATCCTGAAAATCCACAGGTACAAAAAACCTGGTGTGCCTCTTCCAGGGGAACATGACTGGAGATTATGGACTTTGGAAGGACATCACAGATCAACAACTGTAAACGTTTTGAGGTAAGCAACATCTCTTGAAGGATCTAAAGGGGAAAAAACACAGTGTTCTGTTGATGGGATGGGCACAGCTGTCAGTAAGAAGCAGTCCTAAGAAAAAAATATTAAAAAATCTCGCAACTGCAGTGTGCATTGTGATATCTGTACTAATCCAAATTAGGTGCTTGTTTTAACCATGAAAGTTGTTCACATCACTGCAGTGAAATGTTTCTGCCAGAACCCAAACGAAAATACTGTGAAGTCTAAAACACTGCTGGCAAGGATATTGCAAAAATGTACAGCATTTATTCACATACAGACAAAAGGCACAATTCTACCAAATATTTTAACAAAAAATACAGCTGTCTTCAACTAGGTCTTTAGAAATACTTCAAAAAAGGGAGAAAATAAATACAGGATCGGGCCATGTCATATAAAATAGTCATCTCTACATATACTTTTTATTTCTATCTGTTTCTCTTCATGCACCTTTTTTTAAATTAATTTCAGCTGAATGGACACCCAAGCTAGGCACATAGTGAAAAATCTTCTGTACAAGTTTTTCAAATGTAATGACCATTTTCTTAGATTTCTGAAATTAGGATTTATACACAACACGCAGAACCCTTCATTTACATTTGTCTGGGTTTATAACCTAACAAATGGCATTCCAGGCAACTTTACAGACATTCTACAAGCCTACAGTTTGACAGAACAACACTGATCATATCAAAGATCTCTTGGTCAGTCTGCACAAGGAAAGGGAACGCTTAAAAACAGAAATCCAGCCAATCCCAATAAAACACAGGGTTGGGTTTGTACTGTCACTGCTGTACTTACAACACCTTCTGCTGGGAGCCGAGTATGGAGACAAAACTAACCTATGGAGATGGTCGTACCACAGCTGGCTCACAGCCTGTTCGGTTTTGGTTCAACTCAACTGGAAACATTACAAAGCTTTTCACCTTAAATGTCAGGGGACAAAACAGGTAAGGCATTAATTCTGCACAACATTAGCATTCATAATAGTGCAAATTAACAAGGTACCTCTGTCCAACTGGCGTGAGGTTATAAAGGTTTACTCAGAATCCAAATTTAGGTTACTCCATCTATGGCTTGACAATTCTCATGTGATTATAAGCTGCTTTCTTACAGAAAATATCAGTGCCTGTCCAGAGAACATTGCTGGATGTTGAGTAGAACTTACCTGCTTTTACCTCTTGTCTGCTGTTTGTACTTTGAACACATCCCAAGAGTGATTATGTAACCTCAGACACCAGCGCCCTGCCTGACTTTCACCTCTGTAAACCATGCAATTGGTCTGACAACTTGGGACCGGCAACAGGAATTCAGAAGTACATAAAATTCCCCCTCCTCAAAAGGTTAAGACTTCTGAGTTTTAAACAGTAATAGAGATGCATTCTGCTGGAATATTTACTTGATAATGATAACTTGCATAGAAAGGGTGTTAATAAGCCTTTTTTATTTTCTGATTGAACCCTCTGGAAGACTCAGTTACGGCAGAGGAATTCTGTGTTGTCAAGTGTTCCCTGCACAGGAGCCAAGGGTCTGACATTCCGAAGTGAGTGGACACTGTAACAGCAGGCTCGGAGTAGGAAAGGGGAGAAGGAGGTTCTTTACGCCTTTCACTGCTGCTAAAACTTTTTCAGCAGTACATACCTGTCCTACATCTGTGCAGAATTCCAAAATCTACAGGCCCCTAACAGTCCCCTGTGCTGTGTGCGCTCTCCTTGGTACAAAACGGTGTCCTCACAACCTGTTAATATTATTGCTGACAGCTTAATAATTATTGCCATTTGCAATTATTAAAAAAGTACACAATCAGAATATGAGTTCCCTCTTCCATCAAATCTAGTCCAGAATAGAACGAAATAATTTTTCTTCATTTGACTGTAAAGAGCTAATCACAATTTATTGCCTTTGCATTTTATTCTATTTAAAAATATATATTCATGTCCATTTAAAGCAATCTTTTCAGTGTCATAAGCCTGGCTTTCCCAGTACATACCATTAGTGCATCTGTGGTGGCCTTTGGGAAATCCTACTGACTAGTGCTTTAGAAAACTTCTCTCTTGAATTGTCATCACAAGCCCAGAGGACGGTGACTGACTAACAAACAGTGAAGGATTATTCCATGGGGTGCTGGGACCCACAAACCTGCCCCTTGCTCAGAACTGAGCCAACTGGGAGCATCCTCTGTGCTTGGTCTGAGCCTTTTCAGCCCTGCCCCGTCCCTTCCTCCTTCCCTGGTACAACATCATGGCTACGCCTGGTCATCATTGACGCGTAAACCCTGGAGCACGCAGAGGGGGTTGAGCTGCACCCGTGCTCGAACTGAACGCCAACAGACACACTCTGCAAGGAGAGGAGAAAAAGCTGCCACCATCCAAGGACAGTGACCATTTGTAATGGGATCTAGCAGTGCAGTGCAGTATGGTCTAATAATCATCTTCCATTCAATACACGAGTTAAATTAAGAGCTTGTGCTTTTCCAGAAGGTAGGGCAAGGAAGTAAAATTTTCAGTGCCTTTCAGCTAAAAGGGACGAATGCAGCCTGATTCCTCCTCCCCACCCTAGCCCCTTCTAGAAGATTTTTGTGAGTTACTTCACTGTTCATCCCAAATCCTATCTTAGTAGCGATGACATTTCTCTCCTACTCAGGAAAGCTGCAAATAAAAGAGACTCAAACTTCATTTCTGTGAGAGAAATGGAGGTGAGGGAGTGGGGGGATGGAGCAGAGCAAAAACCAAAAAGCTTAAAACAGCTTTAAGTGCATGTAAA